CCTGTTCTGTGCCTAGTGCAATGCAGTTAGCAATAAAGAAAAGAGAAGTAAAGGAAATGGACTGTTCACTGGCAATAGCACTACAGAGACAAATAAACAAAGCAGGGAAGGGCATAGAGAGTTCTGGGGCCCAGCTCCTGCAAGTCTGGGGAAGCCCTGAGTCTGAGATGGTCAGGCAAGGGACCAAGAGGAAGACTCACACCAGTGCTTTCCACTCTGACTCTTATCAGAATTGTGCCAGGGAACTTGTAAAACATACAGGTTCTCAGTCACCCTTAGACATTCTCATTCTGTAGGTCCTAGGGTGGCTAGAGTTATGTATTTTTTAAAAATGTTTATTTATTTATTTTGAGAGAGCGGGAAGGAGAGCGAGGTAGGGGCAGAGAGAGAGAGAGAGGGAGAGAGAGAAGCCAAGCAGGCTCCGTGCCACCAGCACAGAGCCTGTCACAGGGCTGGGACTCCAGAACCGTGAGATCATAACCTGAGCCTAAACCAAGAGTCGGACGCCTAACTGACTGAGCCACCAAGGCGCCCCTAGAATTAAGTATTTTAACAAGGATCCTAGGTGATTCTGGTGCAGCCCTTGGTCACACAGGTTTGAGGACCAGTGACATAGAGAGCAAAGGCCAGTGGGAGGTTAAGGTCCAAAGAATGCATCCAGAAACTTAGAGGGTTAGTTTGGTTAACTATTGGTTAACCCAAACTATTGGTTAACTCAGTATTTTACTGGCTACATGTAATAAAGGTGACTCACCTATGCTGGGCAAGGAGGCAGTCAGGGGCACTAAAGTCTGGTACCCTGCCCTCCTCCCCCGCCCCTCCACCCATCTTCCCCAGGATAAAAGACCACCCCCTTGTCATAGCCTCCATCCCGTCTACAATCTGGTGTAGAGTGATGCTCCACACTCAGAGCCCCAAATCTTGCTCTTCGGATTCCAAAGGAAGCTCCCTTTGAAATTAGGAAAACTCTTTTCTCTCCTAAGACTGTTTAACTTCCAAGACCCCTGTCCCAACAGGACTCGAGAAAGCCTGATCTGCTGTTCAAGACGGAGCACCGGCCTCCTTGTTCTGGAAGGGACCCCCTTCCTCCTTCGGGAGCAACACGCACCATTGACTCAGTGCAGGAAAGAAAATCACAGGGCATGTGATTTAATGTTTGAAAATATTATCTTTGTCACATATTTTTTCATCCTGGTGTTCCTTTCTATTTCAGCAGCGCGGAACATCTCTGGCTGCTCCTTGCTCCTTGCTTCTTGCCTTGCATTTCCCTTCCACTTTCTCCTGGACTCGCAGGCTTTTCTTCCCGAGGCTTACTTGTAGGTGTCTCCTCCGCCCTGCACTTAGATGTGGTTCTCCCCACCACCCTCTTCTCTACCTAGGTAGACTGCATGCACTCTGGGGGTGAGCTCGCCCATGTCTGGGTTTTTGAGGACCATCTTTCCTGCCGTTCTCTCCTGAGCTCCAGATCTGCAGTCAACTACTTGCTGATGCATCTATTTAGATGCCCCACCCCCCACCAAGAACCTTAAATTCGTCCGGTCTAAATGCTCCGGAGGTGGGGAGAAGGAGGTCTACTGCTGCCACTGGAATGGCATCCTTTGTAATGGAAACCCAAGAACTTAAGGTATATTAAGTGGAAAGAAGATTTTCAAGAGAGTTAAGTTTACTGGGAGTGTATGTTAAGTAATGGGGTAGAATTGAGGCAAACCCCAGGGAATCCAGTCTGTGACGTTTCTTCCCCCTGGGGGCACCTGGGTGGCTCAGTTGGCTAAGCATCCAACCCTTGATCTCGGCTCACATCGTGATCTCACGGTTTGTGAGTTCAAGCCCCATGTCTGTGTTCTGCACTGACAGCAGTGAGCCTGCTTGGGATTCTGTTTCTCCCTAGCTCTGCCCCTCCCCAACTCGTGCTCTTGCGTGTTCACGCACGCTCTCTCTCTCTCTCTCTCAAAATAAAAAAAGAAATTTCTTCCTCTCCCCCTCTTCTCCCACCTCGGGCTCCCTCTGTCTCCCTCCCTGTCATTTATGACCTCCGTCCTTCCCCTAGGTACCTCAGTGCAGTAAAACACTTGGAGGAACTCTATTTTCTGCACCTAATTCAGGTTCTGAGAATTTGATTTCTGAACCAGGAGGAGAAAATGCTTTGGATCCCAGGAGCATGGAGGTTGTTTGGGAAATGACATCATATCCATTTCTGGAGTATACTCTATAAGGTGCTAAAGAAATCTAGACCTTGAAAAAAGATTCGGATTTATTTTTTTTCCCCAAAGAAACATAGCTTAAATCTGTCAAGAAAACTTTTTTCCCTTTCTTGAAGCTTACTTTAAAAACAAAACCTGGTATCCTTCATCATTTTCTTTTTAACAAATGATGAGATTCCGCATCCAAATCACCTGCCAAATCACCGTTTCCTAAAATAAAGAAGCGTGCTGCCACACGTTTGAGCTAGTGATGTCCACCCATGATTTACCTATTTCTTGTTCCTTCCTCTACTATTGGTTAACTCAGTACTTTACTGGCTACATGTAATAAAGGTGACTCTCCCTCCGCCTGTTTGGGTGGTCAAAACACTGCTTTGCAAATTTTATTTATTTTTATTAAAAAAGTTTGTTTTTTTTTAACTTTTTTTGTTTTTGAGACACAGAGCACGAACAGGAGAGGGGGAGAGAGAAAGGGAGACACAGAATCCGAAGCAGGCTCGAGGCTGTCAGCACAGAGCCCGATGCCAGGCACGGGGCTCGAACCCACGGACTGTGAGATCATGCCCTGAGCTGATGCTTAATCGACTTAACCAACGCTTAATCGACTGAGCCACTCAGGCACCCCAGCTGTGCAAGTTTTGAAGGAGCAGGCCCTTTCTTCAAACAGATCCTCACCTGAGTCTCAGTCTCTAACACAGCGAAGTGTGGAGCAGGGCCCGTTGCTTCAGCTGAGGGGAGACCTCCCCTCCCAGTGTTTCCTTTCGGGGAACTTCCACGAGGGGGTGGCTCCCAGCGCTGGCTTCACATCGGAATCACCCCGGGAGTTGCAAAGCCTCAGACCCAGACTGCATTCCAAGCCAGGCCAATTGAATCAGAATGTCTAGACGTGGGACCCAGACACCAATGGTTTTCGAAGCTCCCAGGTGATTCCCACGTGCCCACGCGGCCGAGGAGGGCCGGCCGTGTCTCCTGCTCTCCACACCCTCCCTTATCAGACTGGGAGCCGGGAGGAAGGGACTGAGCGTGAATGGGCAGCCGTCAGAATCTGGCTCCGTTCTCCCGTGTGTTTTTCTGCCCTCCTGCCGGTAAGGCTGCAGCGTCCCCTTCCGGGTGAACTCCTGGCAGGCCCACGTGACCAGATGGCAGAGCTACGTTTCTCAAAGGGCGTACCGGTAAGAAAGGAGAAATTTGTATTTCCTCTGTGTGAAATGTGTTTCCATGCCTCAGCTGGTTCCAAACTTAGAAGACACCGAAGTGTTGCTCCTGAGCCCCCTAGGTTTCCAACATAGCCCCCATATGCTCTTTCCCTTGCCCTCCAGATAGCCCCTGGGACAGTCCCACGGAGCCTTAGAACAGCGTTCAAAAATCACACATAGGGTAGAGGAGCCGGGCAAACAGAGAGGTTAAGCGTATTCAGGAGCTGGATTAGGATGTTGGCTCTGATTTACACGCTGTGTGACACGCTCACAAAACTTCATCTCTCTGTGCCTCAGTTTCCTTATCTGTCAAATGAGGGTGCTCATAATCGTGTTTGCGTCAAAGGGACGTGGTAAGATTAAGCGTGTTAATATAAATGGGAAGCTCTCAGAGTGGTGCTGGCACAGATAAAAGCTCGGTGGGCTTTAGCTGGTGCTATATGAGCTCAGCGCACCCTCTGCCCTCAGATACCAAAGGCTGTGTGGAAACACAAAACCTCACTGAACGTGGGCAGGACCACAGGTTTCTGAGTGAGTTATATTGGATGGGATTAATTGTGAAGTAAGGGACCTCTCCTCTTCCTGGGGGCGGGGCTTTAGAAGATTTCTAGGAATTAATCAGGACGGTACGGATGAGCATCTTGTGATTAAGAGCGGCTTTCACTTATTGAACTGAAGACAGGCGACTCTGAGCCCAGGTTTTCTGGAACAGCTAGACATGGTGGATGAGTCTGGAAGGACGCTTGCTTTGGAGTTGCCCGGGCACTTGGGACTCTGACTGAGGCAGTCCCTGAGTGCTTCACATCAGAAGGGTTCAAGTGCACAGTCCCGAGTTCTTAGAAAATTCAGAGCGGACACCGAAGCCGCACCAGCAATTGAGAGGCCATCAGGGAAGATCAAGTGTGACAGAACTTGGCCAAGAGGCGGGACAGACAGCCCGAGAAAAGGGCGGGTCTGTGGGTGGGGGAAAGAGGGAGCCCAGAGTTTGAGAGCTGGTAGCATGTTGTGGATGCCCCCTGGTCCACTGACTTGGCCCCCAAGGTTAACCTGGGCATGCCTGCGTGCCTAGAGTTCACTCCTCCCCAGTGATCCGCGGCCACCTCTTCCCTATTTCTGACTGGACCCACAGCTCACCTGTGTTTCAACCTGTTCTCTGGTTCCTTGCTGTGTAAGAGGTGTTTCACCATTCAGATGCATCCGCATCACCTGGGAGTTTATTAGAAATGCAGGATCTCAGACGTGCTGAGTCAGAATCTGCATTTTAACAAGATCCCCAGGTGATCTATCTGAGCTGGAAGCATGAGAGGGCACTCCTCCGGTTTTCTCCTGGGCGCCCCCAAAATGCCTGGGGCAGAGTCTTGGGACTTCACAGGAGTGCCTGTAGACCCACAATTGCTTCACAGCAATTGGAGATGTGGGAGCCTGGAGAAATGGAAGACACTCGGATACATGCCCTGCGGCATAGGAGGCCCCAGTGGGCAGGGCGTTTTAGTGCACCTTCTGGACAAGTGATGTGGTGTGAACCAGCGCTCCATCACCATTTGGAGAGAAGAAACCTCTTTCGGGGAGGGGGTGGGGTGAGTCTGCTTTTCCCGAGTCTTACCTCATTGAGCTTCTCAGGACTGAAAGCAGAAGTCAGGACACTTCTGACCTCTTCCCATCTTTTGTCACGTAAAAACAGGACGCTGTCCAATACGGGTTTGGACTCCAAGCCAGACACCTGAGGACAACAAGCAGAAGATTAGGACACAAGGGAGCCAAAGACACCTTGGTGGCAACACAAGTCTATTGTAAACACTCGGGTTAAAGTCCACCAGTGACCAACAAATTAGGAGATTTCTCTTGCAGGGACGCAGAGGAAGCATGCGAAGCCTCATGGATAACGATGTAAAGGTTCATGGCTGAGGGCCTGGAGGCTGCAGATGGGTGGGCTCTGTCACAGTGCGGTCACTACTGTACAAACAACTCAGCAACTTCTACGTGTTGTGCATTCCCCCTGCTGAGTGAGGGTTCCCCCAGGACCCTACAGAAGGCTTCTCAGAGATGGGCTAGTCTTTCCCAGGGTTGAGTTTCACGTCTGAACTTTGTGGTGAGGGGTTTTGTGTGGCTGGATTGGTCAGGTTGGGCTGGGAGTTGACGGAGTCATGTCTCTGGGTCTTTGGTGATGTGTATGTAGAGCAAGAGAGAACGTGGTGAGCATGGGGGGAGGGAAAGGGAAAAACAGAACCTTTCAGAGGCATGTCCCAATGGAGCCACTTCTAAGAGAACACCTGTCGTGTTTCCGAGTTCTTCTATTCATTCATCCATTCATTTTTTTTTTTTCACTCAGCAAACATTTGTTGTGTCTAATGTGCAAGGAGTTGGCTCCTCAGTGTTGAATAAAGAAGACATGGTGGGGCGCTTGGGTGGCTCAGTTGCTTAAGCGTCTGACTTTGGCTCAGGTCATGATCTCGCGGTTCGTGGGTTCGAGCCCCACATCGGGTTCTGTGCTGACAGCTCAGAGCCTGGAGCCTGTTTTAGGTGCTATGTCTCCCCCTCTCTCTGCCCCTCCTCTACTCACGCTCTGTCTCCCTCTCCTTCTCTCTCTCGCTCTTTCTCTCTCAAAAATAAACATTGAAAAAAAAAGATATCGCACTGACCCTCTTGGAGTTGATAGTCTATTCGGGATGCAGACGGTAAGCCTCTGAACTAACAAATATGCATGTCATGAGAAAGAAGTAGGTCAAGGCTAGAAAATGATAGGTGCCTGACTGGCTAGGAAGGCTTCTCAGTGGAGGAGATATTCAAGCTGAGTCTGAAAGCATGCAAAACACAAGGTCTCCTCACTCTTCTTCCCAGGCCGATCTGTTCCATTTTAAAATCAGCTACTCCTACCCAAGTCATCAAAACTGGGGTCCCTGCAGCTGGTCAGAGTGCACCCAGACCCAGGGCTGTGGGGTACAGGAAGGCAGGGGGATTGGAAGACCTAGTACTCTTTGGAACAATGTGTGAGGGACAGTTTTTGCTATTTCTTTTCACTGTTTTGTAGTTGAAATATGAAGCCAGCCATCATAATTCAAAAGCCTTGTAAAAGCTCATGTTTAGAGGAAAATTATAATTTTCTGATAAAATATGAACATTCAAAATAAGCTATAAAACATAACTGCAAAGTATCCAGGAGGGGATTTAATTATATATTAGAACAAAGTTGCTGAGATACTTCTCTGCAGAGAAATGCCTCTCTCTGTTTAGAATGAAACTCTAGGAGTACCGTGGCCATTCTACAGAATTATTACCTTCATGGAATTTGGGGAACATAATCCATTTGTTTGGGTTCTGGAGTCAAAGAAGGAAAATTTACATATTGGCAAACACCCAGTCCTGGGCCATGTTACATGAAATAAAGCATCTCATTCCAAGGAGAGCTGGGTGGTTTCTGGGGTTTGATGAAACAGAATAAATTAGAGATAAGAGCAATGGTTGATTGGATTTTGCATCTATCCTTCAGACCCAAGGAATGGATCCATGAGATTTTTTTTTTTTTTTTTTAATCTTGCACCTAGAGGACAAATCTGGTCTTCCGTGCAACTTGTCCATGTTGTCCTCAGATATGTCCCTCGTCAGCTTGCCTGCCAGTGCTCTCCTCTTGGCCCAGAACTGCCATTAGAATTCTCCATTTTGTGATGGAAAATTTCAGGGCCTTGGTTAGAGTAATGTTTTGGTTTCTAGAGATGATGCTGTAATAGGGAGAGCCGCCGATTGGTCGTTTCAGGAGAGCCATGGGATGGTGAGGGGACAGTCTGACAGATTTTGGAACATGTAGTTGGAAACAGAAGACTTGGAAGATCAGAGAGTGTGCTTAGGATGCACTGAAAAACTACTTATCAAATACGTATTATGTGGAAGAGGAAATTTAGGTGGTTTTTGGTGACCTTGAGAGGTGGAGGTGGGTTCCATACTGGAAGTGATGGGGGAAATTCCAGCTCACTTTCTTTTTTTTTAACTTTTTTTTTTTTCAACGTTTATTTATTTTTGGGACAGAGAGAGACAGAGCATGAACGGGGGAGGGGCAGAGAGAGGGAGACACAGAATCGGAAACAGGCTCCAGGCTCCGAGCCATCAGCCCAGAGCCTGACGCGGGGCTCGAACTCACGGACCGTGAGATCGTGACCTGGCTGAAGTCGGACGCTTAACCGACTGCGCCACCCAGGCGCCCCTCCAGCTCACTTTCTAAAGGAGCACTTCTGAACTGTCAGAAGTCAGAATTATTCCAAGATAAAATAACCTGCTTTGAGCGATGAGCCCCCATTGCTGGTGACCGTAATCCATTTTTTAGAAATTCTGCACAAGAGGCTTGAGTGTCAAGGGGGGATTGGTCTAAATGATGCTTAAGAATTGTTCCAACCCTGAGGCTTCATCTCCAGGGGGCCCCTGCAGGCTGTTTTTTGATTTTTAGTTTGCCTACACACACACACACATACATACTTTTCAATTGTGGCAAAATACACATAATGTAAAACTTACCGTTGTAACCATTTTTAAGCACACAGTTCTGTAGCATTAAGTACATTCACACAGTGCAACCATCTCTGCTGTCTGTCCACAGAATGCTTTTCATCTTACACAGTAGATGTTCTGTGCCTATTAAACACTAACTCCCCTCCCCTGCTCCAGCCTGGTCTCCACGTAATAATTGACTTGATTGACTGAGTGATGCCTTGAGAGCTCCGTACAGAGAGCTCTCCCCCAAAGGAATGAGGTACGGGACTGGTAAGTCTGATGGGGCAGGACTATGGAGATAGGAAGGGAACACAAGACTCAGGAAGAAAAATCCAGAGATCTAGGGCTGTCTACCCAGCCCTGTGTCCTGAGTCTCAGCGAAGGCACCTCCACTCACTCTCCAGCCCGGCGTTGCCAGACTGCAGGCAATAACCAGCCATGAAATCAACAGAGTGGATGGCAACCAGCATTTTAAAAAAGAAAAGCTAAGAGACACAAGGAATATAACACAGTAGAACATACAGAGGAGCGTTTCACAAAGTAAGGATAAGCATTTTGTTGTTTTCAAGATAGGTGTGTGTGTGTGTGTGAGAGAGAGAGAGAGAGAGAAAGAGAGAGAGAGAGAATGTGGTTTTGTGTGTGTATTCTGTGTCATGATGTGAAAATAGGTTTTTACTGTAGGCCACAGTCAAACAAGTTCGAAAAGCCTACTTAGCCTACTAAACCCCAAACTGGGAGTCATCCCCCCCCACCCCCGCCAACTAAAGTCCTGTTGGTCACAGCGTTAGCAAGCGCTAACATTTATCGAGCTCCTACTATGTGCCAAGCGCTATGCTAGCATTGAGACTATCAAGACAAAGAATGGAATCCTTGCCCTCAGAGGAGCTCACAGTTGACTTGCAGGGTGGGAATGGGGTGGTTTACAACCAATATTGCTGATCTTACAGCTAACAAAGTGCTTTTCACACCACTTCATTAATCTTGGGAGCAGTTCTCTAGGAATGAGGAAACACTGCCCTGCCAGGCAGTGACGGATTAGTAGCAGCCTCGTGGCTCCCCTGCTAAGTTTCCCTCAGACAGCTGAATGTGTTTGTCTTTTCAGTTAAGATCTCTTTTTTTTT